TAGGTACCGAAACCTGTCTCGAGAAGAACCTGTTGGTCGTCATAGGTATATATATAGTTCTCAACCGACACCTACACCAGGTGAACGTGTGTAAGGTGGCACGCCCGTGTGTACATTCGAATGGAGAACGCACCTGCCACGTAACTTTTCTTCATGGAACGTTTCACCTTCTTTCCGCCGCATTTCAAATGACTTTCGATCCGTACAACTGTGACCACTGTTGGCCTTTACGGTCGTTTCGGAGCCCTTCGACGAGGGTCGACGGTAACAGTAATGCCTTTAACCCACGAGCCCTTTGTTGCCTCGGAGACAGCACAATTCGTCGAAGGAGAACCGTGTCAACGACCGCTAGAACGTAATTGTGACGAAACGTTGCGTACTTTCACGTTAATTCATCTAAGTACCAGCGGAATAGATGGATGTCTATGCAAATATCGAGTTCGTGTATTTTGTGTTGCGTTTAAGATACAAGGCTATTAATTCCAGCTTCGAATCTGACGATGAAAATCACGATAAACGTGATAATTAAGCAAAGGTATATTTAATGGCTCACGAATGTAATGCGTAAGAGGCTGCATACCGTGTACATGTGTAACAGATGAATCATTTTACCGAGAATCATAGCTACCGGAAAACTCATCAACCGGTTACTCTACAGCTTGTTATCATTATTGCCACTAATTATGAAGTTCCACGTCGAAGCTTTGTTCGAGAAATTATTATTTCAAAATAACGACGTTAGTCTGGTAAAATTAATTTGAAGAAAGTTATCAGAAATAACGAACAATAACTGAAACGTTAATTGCAAAGCTTTTCTATAACACTTTCATTTAATTTGAATATATAAAAGAATCGTGGGGTGGCAAACGTGAAAAAACGTGAAAAACGTGTTTCATTAAAACATATTAATTAGAACATTTTATTACACACTGAATGACACAGTGTACATTCTTCAGAAACAATTGTACTATATAATTGCATGGCATTACCCGTGCGTGTAATTAATTAAAGCAATGTTTCAATGCATTCATATAAGGTTAAAACATTAGAACACAAAATCATGCTTCGACACATATTATCAACGTATCGATAACGATCGCGATTTTTTTTCTAAGCGAAAGATAAGATTGTTTTCAAATTTATCTTCGGTGAGTAACGTTCAAAGATAGTTTCTTATCCGACATTTATAACTGCTCCAACCGTAATACATTCAAGAGCACGTAAATTGCGCAATCTTTATCACAACAGGAACAAAACACAGAATTTCATTAAACACTCGTGCATGCTTTAATGAGATTCGAAGCACCTGATTCTTGAAATTGAAATTACAACTTCAAACAATGACTATATATGTTTTCTTTTTTTTTTTTTTAATAATATGCCAGAAGAACGTCTCCCTAGTTATTTCGCAGGCTGATTGCTTAGATAAAATCTCTTCCTTTCAACTCAGTAATTTTCGTTCGAATAACCGAGCGAATTGATGGGGTCTCTGACCGACCGTAGGTCGTACATTAACCATCTCTCCTATTGGTATGCGTGGGTACGAAACTGGATTATCTAGACCCTGAAACGACCTGTACGTGTATAGCTAGCGTATTCCGTGCGGACGTACGGTAATGCCGTGTTCACTGCAAAAGATAAATGTTACAGACCTTATCCTTGGACCGATGACTCGTACTCATCGATCAACGTTGACTCACCGAATCTTTAGAATCGAGATGCATTCTTCTTATAAAAGGACGTGCTCGTGTCGTCCAAGAATCATGACCACGCCCGCTAACGCGATTATTTCTAACGTAACTAATATGCTTTTTCGCAATTTAACCAAATATTTCAAGCTTACAGACGAGAAAAGTAATCTACTACCAACAGGATGAAATTGAAATATTAATTGTTTCATAGTTTCCCTGGGAGTATAAAAATGTAATTGCACGAAACGAAAGAATAATAGCATAATATAATTATAAAAAGAAAGATACCACATAAGCTACAAAAATATTTGTATCGGAGCACCAACTTATGTATATAATCCAAAGCTGTTAAAATATTTGATCACCTTGATAAGTGATGAAATCACGAGGCTGTAATTGCTCGAATCAGCCTATCGTACACAAACATATTTCATTTCAACAAAAAATAAATAATTTCGATCCTTAATCGAATCAGATATCTAGAAGAACTGCATCACTAATGATATGTATATCATTCAAATGAAGTACTATGTTTAACGACTTCGATTGTACCATTTGCATCGACCTTTCTTTACGGCTCAAGGCAAACCCGTGTTAACTGCAAGTCGCATAAAGCGAAAGGTATTTCGTGTTAATACGACCTTAAACTTTCCAGGTAGTACGCGGGGCGTATCCCTGCTTCGTGTTCCACGATGCCATGCACGTGGCCAAAGATTCATGTATAATATTTCGACCTTGATTTTGCACGCGTTCAACGACGAATTTTCTGGATATTTTTGTTTTGCCCGCTCCGAATGACGACGCCTCAGCGGTCGCCAAACGTACACGCTCTCCGGACGTGCTAAATAAATTCTTCGTCACGCGAAACGTTCGTCTCAACTTTCTCGTTCGAATCGATAATAAAGTTTATAGAGAGTGCGAATATGATATAACGGGAGCATTAATTAGTAGGCGAGTTTCACCGTGCTGGACGTTGTTAGTACAACCATTGACTCATCGATTCAATTGAAAAGTTCGAACGAGCTACACTCGAGAGTTTACGTAAAAACGAAGGAGGAACAATAAAGTATATGCAGGTATTAAGGATATCATTGTAATCGGAACGATATCCTTGAATTATATAAGAAAAACCTGATAAAAAGGAGTGAAGCAATAAGAGTTACTATTTTAGCCGTTCTATTATGAGGAACAACAAAAGCTGGTATTGCTTAATGCCAGGCGTTATTCATAAGCTTAGATCGATAAATACCAAACGTTCGTCTCGTTTTATACATACTTCCAAGAAAAAGTATCCATTTCGTTTTACTTTGTGCCGTGGCTGAGAAAAATAATACAACGAAGGGACCAAAATGGGGTGGTCTGTTTTGCATGGTAATCGAATTCAAACAAGATACCATCCAGCCACTACAAAATTTATAAACCATCAACGAAAAATACCCTAAACCCGAATGTCGTGACCTTAACAAGTTCTTTTTTTCTTCAGAGCACTAAAATTTCAGTTGAAGAATTCACCATTACTCGTAAAAAATTTTATCCATATAAATGTTGAATAACAAGAAACTCTCCTGACTGTAAAGTATTGAAACATCACCGAAGATGATAAAACGTTTCGCACTTAAATTGTAGCTGTATTAATATTTCAGTTAGAAAAACCATATCGACGACGATCGTGAAGGCTTGAATATTTGATACGCAGTAATCGCGCATCGATCGAGCTTAGAAAATGTATAGACGGATGGAAAAGTAAATAGCAACGGAACGGTAACGTCACGAAAACTGACAAAGTCAATCGAGATGTTATGAAAGTCGCGACGGAAAATTGCAGTCGATAGAAGGATAGATTTCTTACGGCTACAATAAACAAATTGTAACACCGTGCTATTGTTCTTTGCTTATACGGGGATACATGTTATAAAACACGTCAATCTTACGGTTAATGGAGAAAGATATAATCACGGTATGCGGTTGCATTATCACAGATAGTGTATGTGTAAAAGTGGAGCATCGAGATGATAAATCTTCTATTATCATGATATCATAATTCACGCGGAACGTTTTCCCTAGTCAGATAAGTGGTCAATAATTTCTTCGAATCTCCAATTTCCCAATCTCCTCCTTTCTATCCGTGAACGGTACGATCGTGCGGTATCTATTTTAGAAAATAATCCTGAGATAACTTTATCAGTTACGAATGTATTAAATTTACGAGGAAGAAGTCAGGGAAAGTTCCTGAACCCTTTGCTGGAATTTCGAGAAGTTCGATGGGAACTGGTCCAATAACGCTTTCATTCACGTTTACTTTTCAATTAATACGGCCGTGATCTCGGTGTACATCGTTTGACCTTAACAATGACCGCACGAATTATTGGGACTATCATCTTGCACGACAAGAAGTCAATGAACGCTTATAGATTAAATTTGTAGTTTTCAAAAATGATATCTCATTGATACGAACTGATAATGTTTTTAACGGTATTTCTATCGCAACACAACAAAATTAAACTGATGTTTAATACTAACCTCTCTTGTTGATTAACTGAATGTGATTTGAACAAAAATCAAACCTCAAGAATCGTCATTGAATTACGCACAGTTATATATCAATTTATCACAACGTTCATCGATAACTATCTATTTTCTACAACTGGTTGGAAATGAGATTGATTCGTTACGTATTTTCACTGTGACCACTTAAAAATTACTTTGTTGCATAATGTTTCACGATAAAGTACAACGCATTTTAGACACATCGTTCCCGCTTTTAATACGCCATTTTTTATGCGAGAATCCAAGCTTCGATAGATCGATTGAGTCTATGGTTCTACGGTCGCACGGAGCAACTCCGAAAAAAACCGTTACGCCTAGGTTATGTTTCGAGACATGCATATATATACCGTAGAATCACACGAGAACGGTAATTCAATCAAATAAAAGTGTGTGTATAACTTCTGACTCACCTTTAACAGCCGTAGAACACAACAGGGCAATGAGGCAGACCCAGGTGATCGTCATCTTGAAGTGGCTTGTCGATTCCATGCACATCACAAAAAAATCACTGTCTAACTTTCTTGATGGAACGAACTGCGATTTAATCGCGCGTTTCAACCGAACGGAGCACAAAACTCGGTAACGAAACTGACGCGAACGTGGTCAACGTGAAACACGAGGATATAACGAGATACGAAAGACGTGCGACGTCAATTCGAATACAAGTGCCCGACTCGACGCGAGTGCCAACCAGATAGCTCGGCGCGCGAAGACCGTCTGCCGCGCGCTTTGCTTTCGGTCCGCTTCGTGGGACATCGGCAGGAGCCGAGATCGCCCGAATGCTCCGATCCCCCGATAGCTCCGTTTGACATCGTCTGTTGTGTACCTACTTTCGTGTCTAACCTACGTATATACGCACTTTACCGTATATACCCTTTATTATGTGATTATTTTCTGTAGTGATTATACTCACGATTTTCTGTTTCGAATATGTATTTACAAAGGCACACGAACAGCTCACGAGACGTAGTTTCCTTCTCTTCGCGTCCTCCTACAAGCACTTCAGTTTAAAAGGTATGTACTTTCTTTTGTAACAATTTCTTGTCCGTGATAGGTTAGAATAAACTGGTTTTGCGTATAACGGGTAAATAATTGCACGGTTTTTGTTATTTCTGAGAAAGAACTAATCCTTTCACAGTTGCGTAGTTAACAGACGTACGTTTCTTACAATCTACCAGTGAAAACTTTTGATTTAAAGAAATAAAGGTTAGTAAACACGCTTTAATGCCTGCTCGTTAACCAAGCGTTAAACAATACCGTATTATTACTACCGTTATTGCATTCGATTCATAACCATACTTTTACCTCTTATACGAGCGATCGTATATTATTGATGTCTTTATAATAAAAGTTAGAGAACACTTTTTAAGGGTTAAAGATGGCGGATACATTCAAATCATTGTTATAGAGGGCTCCACGTTGTGAGATGAAAGGTTAAAAATTTCTGAAATTCATTTGTTCAGTGAATTATATTAAAATCAATATTAATCAATATTTAAATATTTCCATAGTAACCAGAAGTAGGTGCTTTGTAGATATGTATTTACATATCATGGAAGGCATAGTTGTCTATTGATACACTGTGTGATACTTTCATTGACCTTTGCATCTACACTATAATTTGTACTTCATATGCAGTTAAAAACAGTTATTTCTTAACAAAAATAAGAAGACATAAATCTAATTTTCTTTTCAATGTACATATATAGGTCGCGAATAAATTAATTTAATTATTATCTAATTCTATTAGTACTATAATTAGTAGAATTAATTTCCTAAAAAGTTGTACAAGAAACTAGGTTTTTGTCCATTAAATTATACATCACTAACTTGTACAGGTGTAACTTGTTATTATACTAATTAGAAATATCGCGATAAAAGACTTGTACTCACGAAACAGGAAGAGTTATTAATTATAGCAATCAAAAAAACTTAAGAGATTACTTCACGGTTCACGGATTACAGATAGTCTGAGAAGTAGGTATAATAATATAAGAAAAGAAACTAAAGATACGTCGGAATAAGTAGAACCGTGCACAGGTGTTTCGACGTATGTAGGTTCGAAGAACGTTAGCTTTTTATTACAAGTAACTTTTCTAACTCGTCGAGTGCTGTTGAGGTCATCGCTGTCCAGCACGAATATTACATTAATTTTGTAAAGTAGCAAATGGAAGGTTGAAATTAAAAAATGGCGCAATCGTGTGAATAATTATAATTATGCATAGCGTGCCTTACTACCTACGTACGTTTTCTTTGCGGTATTTAACATGTTAAGTCGATAAAAATATCGCGCTCATAAATGATTAATCGCTATCGAAGGAATAACGACTTTATGATCCACAGTGGAGGCTTGCGAAGAAATTATCACAGCGTAAAATCGAAGAAAAGAGGCTAAACCTACGCGATAAGAGGTTTACTTACAAAGGTAGAGCGATACCGTGGAACGAGCGGCACGGTTTACACCAGATGCAGCCTCGAAGCGTGCAACTGCACCACCATGTGCATTATGACAATGCTTTCCTATCGATGTTTACTCGGCGATAACGTTGTTGGGTCTTACGAGTACGATTCAACACGATGGCGTACGTGACCGATATGTCGAAGGTGTACCACCGTTTGGGTCCAAGGGAAGCTGCAACAGTATATAATACCAAAGGAGACGTACTAAGGACCACAGTTTCGGAATTTATCAAGTAAGATAGTACCTACTTGCACTTTACTCTATGCATGTTATTCCAATGAGAATAGAGGAAACGGTGAAACCTAGCCGTGTGTATTCCCTTAACGGAGCCACTTAAAAGTTTTATGTTCTTCTTTACAATGAGTTTTAGCACGAAATGTAAATTCATTTCCTTTTTTCGATAAAGTTTCCACTTCGGATAGGTGGTACGATTTAAAGTTTCACGACAGCCGCGTTTCTATGAGAGCGTGTACGTAGCAAAAATTTTCCATCGAAATTTTATTTCGAGTTTTCCTCTTTCTCTGGATATCTAATTGGTCCGCGGCAGTTGTTGCATTCTATGTTTAGCTGGCTAACGATCGATAAGAATCGATGCTGCTTTAGTCGAGCAACTCGGTTAACCGTTATAAACTTTTTACTTATGTTTCTCTTTCGAAAGGTAAAATTAGGTTTATCGTACGACATGCTTAGTTCAAACGAATGGTGGTTGCGCGAATATTATCGTTTAAGTGTATAAGTTAGGGATAGCGAGATCTTTAAAATCAAGTTCTAGTTTGCGGTTAAACGATCTCCATACCAGACCACTTGTTTCTGTATTATGATAGAGAAACATTTCTACGAATTCGGTTAATTGAATTGGCGGATCTACGCATAATCGGGTTATCAGAAGGCGGTCGAATTCTCTGCTACTGTTCAAAATAGTCGCTTGTTTTGATTAATAATTTTTAAGAAAGGTTTGTAAGTAATGGATATCGGCGCAAGGTACGCCTAATCAAAGGCAACCTAAATTACATCGGTGTACTGATGTTCATCCATCGTGATAAATGCAGTAGAACATGATTCGAACTCACTAATTTTCTCTTTGATTAATCACCGGTAACTGTTACGGGTAAAATATGGACTAAGAAACGAGCAAGGTATCTAACCATTGGATGCTCGAATCTATATCAAAAGCTTCCAGATTACGACTTATTCGTGAAAAATCCCGAGGCTAGAAATTTTCGCATATCAATCCTCCTATTAACATCGAACTTGTTATTACCGTAATCAACCAGACGCATTCAATCAATCCAGATTCAAGTCACGTGAATGCTTGCCTAGTATTTTGATCGGTCGCTGAATCCTTTCAATTCATCCAGTCAAAGCAAATATTTATTTAATATCAAAACTGCTTTTGTTACGAACGTACGTTTACATAAACACAATGACCAAATGATATTTTTTATTTAATTAAACCATGCAGTTGCTGAAGCGTGATTAGAATCAATATCAGTTTCAATAACCGCGTTGCAAAATACACAAAGAACAGAGAAAATAAATTTACACGGTTGTTCGTTGATCGATCGAATTTGGTTATTCTATTCGCAACTTTTTTTCTACCATGCATATTTCTCGTTACGCGCGCTTGTATCGGCTTCGGTTACACGGGCGATAGCAAAGTTATTTTCGCGGTAAAAAACCGTAAAAGCTTAAAAATTATGTGTTGCGAGCTGTTGACAATTTTACAACCGCGTTTTAAAAGCTGTGTACTCGGGTACCCAGACATAGACGCATGCACGCGTAGGTCGTTGTGCATTGGTTTTAAAAAGTCGTTGAAGCGAGGATTAAGGCAGTAAAAAAGTTGCAAGAAAATATCTTACCCTTTGTTATAGGTATTGTTGCCCGTAAACATCGGTAACTTATAAAATACTTTGTTTTCGAACATCGAAGGTAAGTTCTTATACGAAGCAGGTTCTTTGTTAAGTTTGTTTAATCAATATTAATGGGTTCAACAAGAAGCACTTGATACCATGGACGGTTTCTAGAATCTTAATCTCATTGAATTTTAATACTTTCTATATTTGTCTTCTGAATTAGCTCCTGCTTGACACGGATTTATGTAATCGTACTAAAAATATTAACGTTGAACGCTGTGTCGGAGAACATTGCGCAAAAATAGATTAACTGTTTCCAGGTTGCCGTGCTAACTGGATTGTTGTGATCCTCTTAACGTTGTAGGTAATTTAAAAGTGGTAGATAGCGATTTACTGAAACGCAGCTACCGAACTTTGATTCGTTTACAATTGAGGGAAAATTTAATTAGATTTCACTACTTTTTGTAAAGTACTAAATAATTTAAAATGTAACTTCTCTAACATGTGGGAAATAAAGATTGAAAAGCGATTTGCAAGCTTTAAATAAGATGCATGTGAAAATGTATCCATCGTATAATGAATGCGGTATTTAATACGTATCGGATACATCAATGACGGAAAAATAATGAGGGAACACGGATTGATAAAAATCGGGCTGTTCCACCACCAAATAAATTCCTGCTACAACGCTTCTGTCGCGATTTAATTTAAATCTAATTAAATATCGGATATACATGAATTACAAGCGTACATTAATACGCGTTCATTTAAAATTTTCGCATGGATATTTTAATCTCGCGTGTCTCTTCAATTTAATCTCTTGTTCGTTCAATTTATACCCTGGTGATGATAATGTTTTAAAAAATTGCTGGTCGTTGCGATGATCGAGCAAACTGTATTTCTTTAAAACACCTTAAAATATTTCGTGTCATATTTTTTATTTAACCTTTTGTCATGGACAAGCGTGAGAAAGGAAGGTTTAAATAAAAGCCGTCTATCCTTCAATGACAAACACTTACAATTAGTCGAACGTTTTGTACGAGGGAATCGATGAATTTACCAGTGCAGTTACATCAGCGTTCCGGTTTGTACGCGAAAAGGCATTTAATATTGCTACAAATATTTCCCTGGCGTACACATAAATCGTGGATTGCTGCCCTGTGAGTTGGTAACGCCGGACGTAGGTATTAAAATATCCCGCATACCCATCGTGCAGGTGTATATATTACTTCGAAACTCGGCTCACAGTTTCCTACGGATTGAACGTACCCGGTATTCGTCGGGAAATTGGATACACGCAGAAGGAAAGAAAGCAACATAATTCAAGAATGCGACTCTTGCCGCGTTAACCGTGTTCCTTTCTTGATACAAGCACAGCCGAATTCTCCGTTGAGTTCCACAAATTTCACCTGAAATCGTCGGCCAGTCCATCGGGATTGGAAAGCATAATTAGCTCGCGTGTCGGTACTAAATTAAACGTATAAATCATGGAAGAATCGATCCAACCCGTTCGCCTGTAATCTCCGATGATTAAGAACCAGCTATACGTACCGATTACGAGGGGATTCTCGCGTTCGCTACCTATCATTTCCGACTGTTTATTGTCTGTAAGCCAACAATCGGGTAAACCGATGGAAAGTGTGTCACGATGTTTGCACCGTGAATCGGTGAAATAATTCCGGAATTCGTTCGAAACGAAACACGACGATCGAACGTTTCAAGAAAATACGAACGAACGGAATGGTAATGAAAGGACGAAGACGAGATTCGAAGTAACGGGTTGTGTTTACCTTTGAAAACTCGCGAACCGTTAATTATTTGTGATTAGTTGACCGGTAGCATATTTCATTGACGCGGCCGCGGACAGTGAATTAGAGTAGGTGGTGAATGTCGCGCGGAGATTGAATTTCGATGACAAGCGTAAAATATGAATTAACTGGCAATGTATCGCTGTTTTGTTACGTAATAGTTTAGTACTTCGATGCTGGTATGTAGAAATTGGAAGCAATCGTGGAATAATTACGCGTAATGGTATCGCGAAAATGTTAACGATTCAGTGAATATGGTGGCGCGTTTGAACATCGTCGAAACTGTCCGATGAAACGAGTACCATGATTATCAGCGTCAGAGTATGGTACACGAGGGTCGGACAACAAGTGAAATACATTTGAAAATACATCGAGTTAATTTTAACGGATGGTTTAACGTTTTCAATTCATGGTTGAAGAAATAAATCAAAATCGGCACTAAGAACGTTACGAACGGCTGGGAAACTTACGCGTCAGAACAGACGCAGCAAAACACAAAGCTAGATCTGCGGAAAATTAACTGCACTCAGTTTAAAAGGGTACTCGTACAGCGTCGAACGATCGATTTGCTTCCCTATATCGCATACGCGCGTAATCGCGTTTGCATTCTGTACTTTGATACAGAGCGCTCGTAAAATCCTCTTTCGAATGTCCAATGAACGATGCTATTACACTACGAGCCGACGATCTCGTTTCTCAAACGTGCGCAAAATTGTTACAATTTTCACCTGTGCGTGGACAAATTTCGCCGCCTCGTGGAAACACCGAATTTCTATTCGCGACACGCGCGGAATATACTTTCGTGAACAATGCGAAACGATAAAATTTGTTTGTCTGCCCTTCTCGTATTTCCATGATCCATCGGAAGTTCATTTAACGCAGCGAACGAGGAAGCCGAAGAAATCGAAGAGCACGTATCGCGGCTAAGTTAGCAACAACTTTAGGATCGAATAGTATGACTCACATAGGAATCGTGAAATCGAGACTGTGTATCGATGAAATTACCACCGCGAGGGATGCCAAAATGTTTCAGCTGCTGTTTCGTAGCGAATCAAAGTTTCAGGGAGATTCAATTTCACGGGGAGCAGGAGAATCTACTTGAAACGGCTGCATGAACCAAGGGGCAGGGGGAAAGGAACTTACTTCTTCGAAAGAAAAGTTGCTCTAATTCGTAGGAAAAGATTAGCGAGCAACGAGTAATCTGATTACTCTACTTTAAAATCCCGCCTTGTTTCCTCTGCTGCTGTCTCTGTTAATGGCCAGGATGCAGTAATTACTAAGCAGAGTGTCGGCTTGCAATCGTTCTACAGTTAATACGAGACGCAAGGAAATCCGTTTGTATTTTCCAAGCGGCGGAATCGAATAACGATACTCGTCTCGTTAAGCTTTAAATGCTTGCTCTTTTATCTTTCAGTTATACCGTATCGATGAGTTAAAATTATTTCCACCGTTTTGGTATTATCCGTGCGGATAATGAAGCGGAACGGTTGGTAAGAATCCGCTGAAGGATCGTAACAATTGTAAATGATCCGGTCAGCGTAAATCTGTTCAAATACGAAATATTCAGAATA